GATTGTTTCCGATTTTAGTTTAATATGTAAAATATATGAATCTTACCCTCATCATTTGCTAATAGGTTTCTTGTAATCAGCTTAATTTACTGATACACAGACATTCAAATTTACAAAACTTTTCATTTAAACTATATAATTGTATTATGCCAGTGTAAAACAATGACATGAATAATAAGGAAACTTTAGTGCAAATGAATAATAAGGAAACTACTAGTGTAAAACAAAAATGAGAAAACTACTAGTGTAAAACAATAATAGGGTCACTGCTAGTGTAAAACAAAAATGAGAAAACTACTAGTGTAAAACAATAATAAGGGCACTGCTAACGTAAAACAAAAATGAGAAAACTACTAGTGTAAAACAATAATAGGGGCACTGCTAGTGTAAAACAAAAATCAGAAAACTACTATTGTAAAACAATAATAAGGAAACTGCTAACGTAAAACAAAAATGAGAAAACTACTAGTGTAAAACAATAATAAGGAAACTGCTAGTGTAAAACAAAAATGAGAAAACTACTATTGTGAAACAATAATAAGGAAACTGCTAGTGTAAAACAAAAATGAGAAAACTACTAGTGTAAAACAATAATAAGGGCACTGCTAGTGTAAAACAAAAATGAGGAAACTACTAGTGTAAAACAATAATAGGGGCACTGCTAATGTAAAACAAAAATGAGAAAACTACTATTGTAAAAACAATAATAAGGGCACTGCTAGCGTAAAACAAAAATGAGAAAACTACTAGTGTAAAATAATAATAAGGAAACTGCTAGTGTAAAAACAAAAATGAGAAAACTACTAGTGTAAAAAAATAATAAGGGCACTGCTAGTGTAAAACAAAAATGAGAAAACTACTAGTGTAAAATAATAATAAGGAAACTGCTAGTGTAAAACAAAAATGAGAAAACTACTAGTGTAAAACAATAATAAGGGCACTGCTAGTGTAAAACAAAAATGAGGAAACTACTAGTGTAAAACAATAATAGGGGCACTGCTAATGTAAAACAAAAATGAGAAAACTACTATTGTAAAACAATAATAAGGGCACTGCTAGCGTAAAACAAAAATGAGAAAACTACTAGTGTAAAATAATAATAAGGAAACTGCTAGCGTAAAACAAAAATGAGAAAACTACTAGTGTAAAATAATAATAAGGGCACTGCTAGTGTAAAACAAAAATGAGAAAACTACTAGTGTAAAACAATAATAAGGAAACTGCTAGTGTAAAACAAAAATGAGAAAACTACTAGTGTAAAACAATAATAAGGAAACTGCTAGTGTAAAACAAAAATGAGAAAACTACTAGTGTAAAACAATAAAAGGGGCACTGCTTGTGTAAAACAAAAATGAGAAAACTACTAGTGTAAAATAATAATAAGGACACTGCTAGTGTAAAACAAAAGTGAGAAAACTACTAGTGTAAAACAATAATAAGGAAACTGCTAGTGTAAAACAAAAAATGAGAAAACTACTAGTGTAAAACAATAATAAGGAAACTGCTAGTGTAAAACAAAAATGAGAAAACTACTAGTGTAAAATAATAATAAGGGCACTGCTAGTGTAAAACAAAAATGAGAAAACTACTAGTGTAAAAAAATAATAAGGAAAGTGCTAGTGTAAAACAAAAATGAGAAAACTACTAGTGTAAAATAATAATAAGGGCACTGCTAGTGTAAAACAAAAATGAGAAAACTACTAGTGTAAAAAAAAAATAAGGAAACTGCTAGTGTAAAACAAAAATAAGGTAACTGCTAGTGTAAAACAAAAATAAGGACACTGCTAGTGTAAAACAAAAAATAAGATAACTGCTAATGTAAACAAAAGTAAGGAAACTGCTAGTGTAAAACAAAAATAAGGACACTGCTAGTGTAAAACAATAAAAGGGGCACTGCTAGTGTAAAACAAAAATGAGAAAACTACTAGTGTAAAATAATAATAAGGAAACTGCTAGTGTAAAACAAAAAATGAGAAAACTACTAGTGTAAAATAATAAGAAGGAAACTGCTAGTGTAAAACAAAAATGAGAAAACTACTAGTGTAAAACAATAATAAGGGCACTGCTAGTGTAAAACAAAAATGAGATAACTACTAGTGTAAAATAATAATAAGGGCACTGCTAGTGTAAAACAAAAATGAGAAAAACTACTAAGGAAACTGCTAGTGTAAAAACAAAAATAACTACTAGGTAAAACAATAAACTTGCTAGTGTAAAACAAAAATGAGAAAACTACTAGTGTAAAACAATAAAAGGGGCACTGCTAGTGTAAAACAAAAATGAGAAAACTACTAGTGTAAAACAATAATAAGGTAACAAAAATGAGAAAACTATAGTGAAAATAATAATAAGGAACTGCTAGTGTAAAACAAAAAATGAAAAAACTACTAGTGTAAAAATAATAAGAAGGAAACTGCTAGTGTAAAACAAAAATGAGAAAACTACTAGTGTAAAACAATAATAAGGGCACTGCTAGTGTAAAACAAAAATGAGATATCTACTAGTGTAAAATAATAATAAGGGCACTGCTAGTGTAAAACAAAAATGAGAAAACTACTAGTGTAAAACAATAATAAGGAAACTGCCAGTTGTAAAACAAAAATTAGAAAACTACAAGTGTAAAATAATATTAAGGGCACTGCTAGTGTAAAACAAAAATGAAAACTACTAGTGTAAAATAATAATATGGGCACTGCTAGTGTAAAACAAAAATGAGAAAACTTAGTGTAAAACAATAATAAGGAAACTGCTAGTGTAAAACAAAAATGTGAAAACTACTAGTGTAAAACAATAAAAGGGGCACTGCTAGTGTAAAACAAAATTCATGTAGAACAATGACATGAATAATAAGGAAACAACTTAAACGGTATGCTGTTACACAGTTTTTTCTGGCGCAAATGGTATTATGTTTATATAGACAGTATTGCAATGATAAACACTTCGAAAGTTTGCATTTCCAAAACGACACCATTTTTTAAAAAGTCACAAAAATCTGGACCGGCACTGAAACAGGGCGCCCTTCGATAAGTATGATGCGTTAGAATCTAAAACTCACATAGATGATGTAATGTCATGTGCCATTAAATAAACTTTATTGTTTTCTTTTTTTGAAATGTTGAAAGGGAATATTCTGTTGTTTTAATTGTCTGTTAAAATTATGCTAAAGGTATCTGTTGAACGTGATAAACATATCTTTCCATTGACATGGATTTTTTTCCAATGTTTTTGCCCCCACGTAAGGTGAAGGTCTAACAAAAGACTGTCCGGTCCGCTTTCAAACTGGATCATTGTCTTACTGTTTGTTTGACCGTAGGCACGACATAACCATGGATGTTGTGGCATCCATTTTTAGTTATATAATGGAAAGAGTGTTTTAAATTTTTTTTATCAAGAAATCAATTTTCGCATTAAACACAGCCTTATACTTTCACAGACCTCAATCAACTTTGAATGGTGACCTATGGCGTTTTGCCACGGTAATAAAGGGAGGGGGAAACTGAAAACAATTATCGGCGTATTTCTTAGATTACTTGATATGTTATTATATAAGATATACAATGTATACGCGATACTTGAGGGGCTTACTTCGGGTAATAGTGAAAGGCGTCACGGCATATTAAAACAATGAAAATTCTTTTTGTATTCGAATCGCATCTTCTCGGCCCTTTCCGTCAAACTTCGGATCTTAGATATATCATCGCATCATGTAACTGAAATGTATCATCGAAAAAATAATAATGAAATCATAATGGGAATGCCTAAATCGTGAAATTATTAAATAATACCATCAAATTATACACACTCATATAGCAATATTATAATAAACTCGTGTATAGTAGAAAGAAACAACTTTAAAAATGCAAAACAAAGATAAATCTACTTGTTTAAATATAAACAATTTCTTTTATTACATGCTTTTCGGTGGTTTATAGAAATATATCAGTGATAGCCTATAAAACTGGTAATTTCACTGTTTTAAACAATTTGATAATTTCACTGTTTTGAAGTTAAGCCCCTTTATTTCATGCTTTCCAGTGTTTTATTGTAATATATCAGATTATTATATTCTGATAAACCACTAGTGAAATTTATAAAATATAATTTTCACTGTAGCCGGACTATATCTGAATGCGGATGAAAAGAAAATCATAACAAAATGGAATATCAGGCAGAAATAAATGCCTTCATACGTAAATTTTGCTTCTTTAGGAAAAGAAAGTCGATGTCACCATACATCATGTTATAAATGTAACAAAATTAGAGAAATTTAACAGAACTATATTTCAAAATTGATGATGTGACGTCATGATGTGATGACGTCACAAAGTAGAATGCGCGACGTTACGCGGCAAAATCAGTAAAAAAATACTTAAAATCACTTAAAAGGAATGAAATAAAAAGAAAATTTATTTGTTTTGCATATAAGATTGAAATATATTTCATTCGTGAACACCAGCTATTATATTTTCACTCGTGGCTACGCCACTCGTGAAAATATTGCATCTGGTGTTCACTCAGTGAAATTATATTTCAATCTTACATGCAAAACAAACAAATATCCTCTATTACGTTGTTTCAGTGAAATACCAGCGTGCACAGTACTGGGGACCAACTTAATGACGTGACGTCGTAAATGACGTCACGTTGTATAATTATTTGGCGCGCTTTTCATTCAGTATTAGGTTTAATGTTTTAATTTTCTTTGCATATAATAAAAAGAAAATTTGTTCAGTTTAGTGTAAGATCGAAATATATTTCACCTTGTGAACACCAAAAGTTCATATTTCACTCGTGGCTGCGCCACTCGTGAAATATATACCTTTTGGTGCTCACTCGGTGAAATCTATTCCGATCTTACACTGAACTAAACAAATATCCTCTAATCTTAGCCAGGTTGTAGTGGTGTATGAAATATTTTGAAATCTTTACTGTGTGTTTAAGTAGCCTGTTACAACTCATTACAAATAACAAAGCTATCGTGAACAACTGTATGCTATAATCTATGACTTATTATTGTCTCCCGCTAAGTATAGTCGATAAAGTTACAACGTTTGCAAAACGGGCTACCCGGGCTTTAAAGGTGTCACAGTGATAAAAAGAAACACAAAACATACAGGCATTATGTAATGAGGTAAGTTTTGTGAATCATTTTCATTTTAACAAAATGTATTAAATTTGTATTTTACTACATTCCAATATCAGTCAGATGATTTAAAAGCGAAGGAAAATATCTTAATTGGAATATGAAAACGAAATTAGGTTAAACAAGATTGCATTTCTGAAAAAATGCTATATCACACAATTGTATAACACTTAATATAGGAACAGAAGCAGTTCATTTTTGTTTGTATACAATTGAGGTGTGCAATTTCGTAAGTGTTAAGTAAACTTTGGGGGGGGGTGGGGGGGGCGGTGGGTCAATGTCACATTTCAGTATGCCAAATGAAAAACAATGTGCAAGATGCATCTAATGTTGAAATACGAAGACCAGTGATGGTTTTACACTATGTGACATGAAGGCCACGTTTAAGGTCACAGTTCAGCATGCTGCGCTAAATGCAATCTTAGTACAGGTTCATTGAACAATATTTAATTCTAAATACCTAAGCTCTAGACCTTGTTTTTTTTTGCATGGAATGAAATTCTTTTAACAACTTTGGAGGCTCTCAACTCAAGGTACGATCTTGACAAGTTTCGTTGACTTTGGACTTGTGGTTTGTAAGGAGAACTTTTTTTAAGTTTACTAAATATTCATAACATGCACGCGCATACACGCTTGCATGCGCGCGCAAACACGCACACACACAAAGAGGCTAGTCGCTAAATGTCACTGCAACGCAGATGCTGTGGTTGCTTAAAGATAAACAAATCTCAAATATTTCCTCTCTTCAACTAATTCCAAGTGGATTAAAATAAGTACATCGTCATATATGCAGTGCATAAACAAAAAGTGCATCCTCACATATGCAGGGCTTGCAAAATAAGTTCATCCTTACATGTGCAAGACATGCACAAAATACTTATGCACACATACAATGCAGGACTTGAATAACAAGAACATCTTCATTCATGTATGGCTTGCACATTATATACATCATCACATACCGGTATGCAGAATTTGCTGAATGAAAACACTTCACAATATCAAAAGTAATGCCACAAAAATGCTTCTGGGCTTTTACTATCAATTTATTTTGTTAAGAGAATAAACATAAATTAAACAGATATTTAGCTCTAAGGGACGTGCAAATTTATATATAAAATACATTTGTTCGATAAATTTTGTCCCTTCTTTGCTTTATGTCAACACAAAAATGTAAACAACTGATAACTTAAAAGTATCTTTAGAAGGAGTTGTCTCTGGGTGAAATAGGAATTCATAAAAATATCAATGTGATTTTAAACAGTAAAAATGGCGTGTAAATGCACGTTTAATCAGGTTAGATTTGTTTATTACCCTTTTGAATCGCCTGAAGGAAAATTGAATATTTTTAAATTTATTTCCTTACATGTATCTGGATACAAAAATGGAACGTGAAATCTATCTTTAATTTTGTTGTCGAAAGTAGAGTAAACAGTGATATTTATATGAATCTAAAAATGTCCGTTATCCATCGATGTTATATAGTCAATTTTACGCCTAAACAAATAGATAATAAATAATTAGAAGTATGGTTCCCTGGAACAATGTATTTTCAGTATTAAAAAATATGTATAATTCCAAATATTTCAAGAAAATTAAGACTGGGTTAATATAACAATACTATCATTCAACTAATCATTTCAGGGCAAATTCGACTTCTAAAAGATGGAAGTATCTGGAAAAAAGAAAGATTCAGTTGAAAGTTATTCAGATTGCGCAGATGAGGTAGATCCTCAGATATATTGTAATCCATGCAGTAAAGATGGTTCGCGAATTACAGCACATAGCTTCTGTCAAGACTGTATGGAACATCTATGTGAGAGCTGTTACAACACGCACAGAAAATCAGCACCATGCAAGAACCATGTCCTACTAGAAAAGTCCCAGATGCCCAAAACTCAGAGTTCAGGACATCTTCAAGTTCCACATGACCTTACACAACATTGTCTGTTGCATAAAGGTAAACTGATTGAGTACATCTGTCATGATCACAATGTCCTCGGCTGTAGTCCATGTATTACACTCAACCACAGATACTGCAAGATAGACCACATACCGGACGTCTCTAAAGAGTACAGGACAAGTGACGAGTACAGAGATTTTGTACAATCTCTAGCAGCCCTTCAGAAACAGTTCAAAACCATTATTGAAGAAACAAAGGCTAACAAAAAGAAGATCATGCAGAACAAATCAATTGTCAAAGATGAAATCAGGAAGTTTCGACAAGAAATTGACAACATGTTTGATAACCTAGAGACAAGCCTTATGAAACATGTCGATGACATTTTGTCCGATGAGACTGCAAGAATTAAATCGTTAACTTCGAAGTCTATCAAATTAGAGAAAGATATTGAACAACTTCAGAATGAAATCAGCAAACTGGAGAGGGCCAATAAAACCAATGCGCTATACATCCATTCTAAAGCAAATAAAGTAATCGTACAGAAGTTTACATCTGCTGAGAAAGAAGCACATGAAGAGAACTACATAAACAACTATGTCTTCACACCCAATTTGCATTTTAAGGAAATACTAGGATCAAAAGCAGGAATCGGTGAACTGCAAAGAATTAAAATAAGAGGACCTCGCCGCAAAAGTTTTATAACCGATGCTGCTTCCTTTGAAACACTAAAAATAAAGTATACAGATGACATAGATGTCCAAACTTCGTCAGATAAATTGAATTGCTGTATTTCGGGAGCAGTGGTTATCACTGATGACACTGTTGCAGTTGTTGATCACAATAATTGTGCTGTCAAAATAGTTGATACAAAAATAAAGAAGATAATCGCTGAGAAAAGGTTACATGATTGTCCAGAATGTTTAGAATTAATTCCGGAAAATAAACTTGCATTCACTATTCCCTATAAAAGAACAATTACGTTCCTGTCAATACAAAATGGACTGTCAGAGGTCCGGCGTCTAAAAGTAGATGGCAGGTGCAGAGATTTAGTATTCCACGACAATAAACTAATTGTTTCATTCGAGATGCCAGGTAAAGTTCAAATCATGGACTTAGATGGCCATGTTTGTCAAGCTGTAGAGAAAGATTTCTATGGTGACGAATTAACATTTCCGTATGTCACATTTGGTATCAAGAGTAGCATTTATATCTCGGACAAAAGTAAATCTACAATTACAAGTATGAATCTTAATGGAGAGGTATTGAAGGGGTACAAAGATGAACGCCTGCTTGCACCTTGTGGAATGGTTGTTCTAGATGACGGCTCTATTTTGGTTTGTAGCAGTAGAAACAACAGCGTTATTTTGATATCAGAAAACCTTCAAAAAAGTAGAGTGATACTTGATAAAGACGATGGCTTGCTCTGTCCGTGGTCTCTGGCTTTAGATAGAGAAAAAAACAAGTTATATGTAGGCAGTGGTCAATTTTGTAAATTTCTGAAAGTATATGATTTGAATTAAATAATATACAAATGGACAGAACTTTGAAAGACTGCGATATAGGATATAGACGTTTGTCGTGAATAAATAACTCACGCATGAATTATGTCATTTAAACTACATTCATTTATGACGAGCTCTCCACATCTGTTGCTTAATTGGTTATTCGTCATTACCATAGAGAACTATTTATTCTTAATTTGTGCATGTAATAACCAAGTATTGGTGTGAACATGACAGTTTAAAACTGTGTGTACTAACATTGTGTACTAAAACGGTTATCAGTATTTACAAACTCATATTTAATAATGAACACACATTTACAAGATTTATGACCGTTCATTACATTACTTTTGTGTTTGTGATATTTTAGTTTTTATTTCTTTTTGGGTGGTTCTAATATTCTCAAATTAAATAATGTTTAATCGCCTTTGTGACATGCTGTCTGCTTTTTGACGTATGCCAGTGATAAACTGGCTTCATAAAACTTTTTTAAAATTTTTATTTTAATTCTTTCCGTAAGAGCATGTCTTGTCTTTAAATTTGTGGCCGCTTTGGTTGGAAGGTCAAGCACGAGTCACAAAAATGGTTCAATGATAACCGCCGCATGAACGCATCTGCAGATGTTTTTAATTCTAAATGTCACAATTATTATACATTGTATTTAAATGTTGAATTTTGCTAAAGCCTGGTTCAGAAAAAATGGACAGAAGCTTGATTATTCCACCATCGTCCAAAAACCTACATGAAAAGCTTTGCATTTACACCACAGATGAATCTACGGGAGTACTCGGATCAAAAGCAGGAATCGGTGAACTGCAAAAAAAGTGATATTGAACGAAAAGTAAGAACCGAGGCTGATTACTTTGAAACACTTCCTGTTATGTATTCAGATCAAATAGATGTCAAGAGTCCAACAGATGAAATGATTGTTGTATTATGGGAGCAGTGTTTATTATTAAGGACACGGTTGCAAAAATGATTCTAAAAATAGTGCTGTAACAATTGTTAAAACAAAGATAAAAAATATAAATTCCGACAAAAGATTATTTGATTATCCATATGATTTTAAATAACTTAAAAATGATGCACTAGCAGTCACTGTAATAAAAAGAAAAACAATCATATTGGTGTCTATACCTAATGGCCTGTCTGAAGTTTGCTGCCTGAAAGAAGATGGAAAGTGTACGTATTTAGTTTACCATAACAATAAAATAATTCTTATATTCGAGTGGCCTGGAAAAGTACATATTTTGGACTTAGCAGGCAATGTTTATCAGTCGATAAAAAAAGATTTATTTCCATGTTAATGGATTTGAAGGCCCATTTGTTATAGTTGATATTGGGAAGAAAATTTTCACTTCAGACTTCAGTACAAATACAAGTATAAATCTTAGCAGGGGTACAAAGATGAACGCCTAGTTCAACCTTGTGGTATGGTTGTTCTAAATGACGGATCTATTTTGGTGTGCAGCAGAGGAAACAACAAAATTCTTTTGATATCAGAAAATCTTGAATAAACAAGAGTGTTACTTGATCAGAAAGATGGCTTGCTCTGTCCTTGGTCTTTAGCTTTAGATAGAGATAAAATCTTTATATGTTGGGAGTGGTAAATTTTGGAACTTTCTAAAAAGTATATGATTTGAATTAAATACATTCTATAGACAAATTAACAGAAATTTGAAAGAATGTGATTTAGACGCCCATTGCTGTGAAGAAATAACATGCACATGAATTATGTCATTTAAACTACATTTATTTATGAAACAACTTTCAACATTTGTTCCTAATTGGTTATCGAACATGGCCCAAGAGAACGAATATTTCATAGTTTTTGCATTTTATAACCAAGTATGATGTATACATGTAAATCTTAAACGATAGTATAATAATATAATGTACTGAAGCGGATTTCAGTATCTACAAACTCATATTTAAAAGTTAACACTTCTTAATTTAAAATGTCACAATTATGATATTTAAATGTTGGATTTTGCTTGCTTAAGTCTGGTTTAGAACAAATGGACAGTAACTTGAATTTTCACCATCGTACATAAACTAGCCAAATCAAACCGAGCATGCAACATTTTTAGTTTTATCATTTATAGCGTTATTAATGAATTCCATTTATGATTAAGCCGGAAAAAGTATCTGCTATCGCATTATAGTATGTCCAATATCACTTATCCTGCTTAGATCAACGAGGGAAAGGTAATACATTTTTGTTGAGAAACAGTTAACACAATCTAAGAATACTCGATACCTAATTGTCTACTTATTTAAGTGCTTTATAAACTGGCGCTTAATTCAATTTATGATTATTTCGTAGATTTTTTAAACTATTCTTTCAGTGGATGTTAGCATCAAGTAGTAGGTATACAAATTTGTAACAATTGTCAAATTTGTTAACAAAAGGTTTCTATCCATATGATAGGTATATTTTTTTTTTAAAAGATATACGCAATAAAGACAATATATCTAACATGTCTCTAGAAAGGTCATAAATACATCTTGGGTCATCATTTATTTGATTTGTCTTTTTTTCAACCTAAACATGTTGTAAAAAATAAAATCTTCCTTGAATACTGAAAGAAAAAAAAATTTGGAGGACTGACTTCAGCAAAATACAGCTATTGAGCAAAGAAAGTAATTTATACATTGCAAACGACACTTACAATGCACGTAAATTACCAAAAAGTGGTCAAATTATACATAAAAACCTCTTACTGTGTTAGTTACACAGTAGATTATAGTGATTGATACAGCATAATCAGTGATCAATCGCTCAATTAATAAAATATTGAATCTTTTTACTTTTCTTAAGATCTTAATACATTTTTCTAAAGATTAAATTTCTTGAAATATTTGGCTCATCTGGAGGCGTGCAGCTTTAATGAGAGCTTTCATAATCATTCAATTGTAAGCATATGCAAGAAATAGGTATCAGATTGTATCCACAACACATCGTTAACGTTCAACTAAATTGTAATTGAATTTTATCCAGTTTTTGGGCGTTCTTTGGAGATTCTCTTCTTGTTTCTTTCTTTTTTATATATATGTTTCAAAACATCTTTATGCTGATATCTTTTTGAAAACCGTTCTTGTGTTGTTATCCTATTAAAACATTATTTTTTGTGTTGATAATTGAATGAAAACATTTTTCTTGTGTTGATATTTGACTGAAAAAGATTTTCTTGTGTTGATATTTGATTGAAAATATATTCTTGTGTTGATTTCATGATTTGTTACTTTCGTTGATCTTATACATAGCAAATACATTCTGAATAACCAGATAAATAAAGTTTTGGTTTTGAGTACAATCCTCAGTTACCGTCAAATAGTGTTTGAACGTCATTTTCGGATTATGTATTGGCAACACGCTGGGTTTAAAGATACACTATTCAAACCAGATATATTTCGTACCTACTCGCCTCCAAATCTCTACAAACACCTTTGAACCTACATAAAGTGTAGCGTGAATTCAGAAGGCAATTAGGGAATTTCCAAACTGATATCATAATTCCATTCTGTTTGTTTAGTTGGGTTATAAGTAACACCGGCATTTGGCAAATTTCCAATTCAACTGGTGGAGGAAGACCTCAGACACTCCTCAAAACATCATTTTACCTGAAAAGACGTGAAAGTATTCAAAGTACCTGACGGATTTCCCATCATCGAAAGTGGTGGGGTCAAAAGTGGTTTAATCAAAAATTTCAAGGGCATTTTTATAACGCAAAATAGGTAAGTAACAATGCTACTAATATAAAGTGATACTAGTAATGAAAATTCAAGTATTTTAATAAGAGGGCCAAAATGAGATGGCCCTAACTCGCTCACCTCACAAAGCATCCTGACAACCTAGTTTTTCATCCAAAATGACCAATATTCAAACTCAGTCGGGCAATTACATAAACAAGCATCCTGACAAAGTTTGATGATGATTAAAAAATGTGACCACTAGAGTGTTAAAAAAAGGTTTCCCATATTTTGGCAATGTGACCAGTTTTTGACCCCAAGTGACTCATATTCAAACTTTACTTCGAAATAAACTTTCAGACAAAACTCAAGGATATTTTGGTCAAAACAGAAGCCCCTAAAGTCTATTCTTTTTTTAGCTTCTGTAACCTAGTTTTTCATCCGAAATGACCAATGTTCGAACTCATCCGAGCAATACCTAGACAAACATCCTGAAAAAGTTTGATGATGATTGACTAAAAATGTGACCGCTAGAGTGTTTACAAACAAATGTGGACGAACGACGGACATTCAACCCCTGAGCTGGCTCAGGTGAGCTAAAAAGACATAGATAGTATGGATTTATCCAAAATAATGTTTGATAAGTGATGTGGTAATAACAGAGAGTTCATTGTTCAAAAATGATAAAGTTTGTTTTTAAGTTCTAAAATTTCTTCCTCAAGTCTTGATTGTATATTCTTTCAAATACAAACGTAACCCCCCCCCATCCCACCACTCCCCACCCCACCCCATTGTAACATCCAACTCATCTAAAAATTTGACTACATAATCAAAAGCATAGGAATGATTTAAGAATACATTCTTTACAAATTATAATAATATTTAATATGCATGAGGTGATATGTACATCATATCAAGATATTTGGCAAATATATTTCTGAAAATATTATCGAACAGTGTCCCCGAAAATCATTAAAAATATCTTTAAATTACCTTTGCTGGGAAGTTTAGGACACTAACTGAACATGCCAAGCGCATGTTCTTTCATCTCTTTTTACGTTTATTTACATTTAATTTATTTATTTAATCATTTCTTTAAAAAAATAACCACTTTTTCATAAAAATCTGTTTCATTATCAAATTTACATGCGGGCATTTGAAAGTGTAACATGTTTTAAAAGTTGTTTTTGTTAAAGTCAGTATACTTAAAAAAGAGAGTACATCCTTTTTTGAAAGCAGGCAGAAATTGAATAACAATAAGATTACTTCAACATGTTTAAAAATTAAATCATGACCGATAACCCAGACACTGATCAAGAATATTATAATCAATCAGTTCAATCAACTTTATCATGATATTGTATTAAATTTCTTTATGTTGTGTAACTTTGAAAATAACTTAAACAAATAAACCAGAGAGAAAAACAAATTGGATCGATGTGATTTAAAAAAATAAATATATGAACATGGTTTACCCAGATACAAACCAGTACAGTCGTCACAAGACAGGTAAACGATTATAAAACTAGATAACAAATCGCTGATACCGACATTATCAGTTTTTGCAGTTGTAGATAGTTTATTTTTAAAAAAAGTGGGCGTTGTTGTAGGAAAAATGGTGTATATATTGTGTATATAAGTTATGGGGTGAGTTCACTGAATAATATATATTAATTTACTCAAAAGTTGTGTTTAGGTAAAATGTGTAAAGTTAAAAACGTGGGATATATACTTTTTATGTTCTCAAAAGATAATTATTTTATATTTAAAAAGAGACTGTAAGCAATCAGAGCGTAAAATATCTTTAAAATATCTTATCTATCTTACGCAATCAATCCGTCAGATCATCTGCAGTTCACTAGTCATTTTTATGAAGATGTTAAATTATTTCAGGAAGGTTAAAAACACTGTCTAAGAACGTACGACGTACATAACTTCAGAGTTACTTCGATTGAAGATGGAAGTGTCTGGAAAAAGGGAAGAGGCAAATGGTGATCACTTAAAGTCTGTAACTGAGACAAAAGCACAAATTTATTGCGAACCATGCAATAGAGACGGTTTGCGACTATCAGCACATGGCTTCTGCAAGGACTGTGTTATACATTTATGTGAGAGCTGTTACAAAACGCATAGAAAAACAGCGCCATACAGGAACCATGTACTACTAGACAAGTCTCAGATGCCTAAAACTCAGAGTTCTGAACATCTTCAAGTTCCTGGTGACTTGACTGAACAATGTCAGTTGCATAAAGGTAAACTGATCGAGTACATCTGTCAGGATCACAATATTTTATGCTGTATTCCATGTATAACACTCAACCATAGAAACTGCAAAATAGACTACATACCAGACGTTTCTATAGAGTACAGGACAAGTGACGAGTACAGAGATTTTCTACGATCTTTAGCAGCCCTTCAGAAGCAGTTTCATACAATAATTGAAGAAATAAAGGCTAACAATAAGAAAATCTTGCAGAACAAATGTTTGGTCAAAGATGAAATTAAGACGTTTCGCAAAGAAATAAATAATATTTTGAACGAGCTTGAAAGAAGTCTTGAGAAACATGCCGATGATATATTTACCAAGGAGTCAGCAAGAATGAAATCTTTAGCGTCAAACTCTGTCAAATTGGAGAAGGATATTGAACAATTTCAAAATGACATTAGCAAACTGGAAATGGCAAACCAATTTAATGCACTCTACATCCTTTCCAAAGAAAACAAAGAAATTATACAAAGCTACACCTCTGCTGAGAAACAAGCACACAAAGACAACTATGTTAACAGCTTTGTCTTTACACCAAATGTTAATTTAAAGGAAATACTCGAATCAGAAACAGGAATCGGAGAACTGCAAAACAGTGACATTGTAGGTACTTGCAAAAGTGTAACGCTTCATATCAAGTATTCAGATGAAATAAATATCAAGAGTCCGTCAGATGAAAGAAGTTGTTCCATTCCGGGAGCAGTGTTTATTACCATGCATTGCGTTGCAGTTGTTGATTCGATAAATTGCGCTGTCAAAATAGTTGATACGAAGATGAAGAAGGTAACCGTTGAAAGACGATTCCACGATAGCCCAACTCATTTGGACTTACTTGCGAATGAAACACTTGCAGTGTCTTTTAGTATTAAGAGAAAGATCTTGTTTTTATCAATACCAAATGGATTGTCTGAAGTCGGGAGTCTGAAAGTAGATGGAAGGTGTAAGGATTTAGTTTATCATGACAATAGAATAATTGTTACATTCGAGTGGCCTGGTAAAGTTCAGATCATGGACTTGGACGGTCATGTTTATCAAACCATAGGAAAAGATTTCTTTGGTAACGAACTGAAAAGTCCATGTGTCGTAATTGATGTTAAGAAGAACATTTACATATCAGACTGGCAGATGTGTACAGTAACAAAAATGAATCTTAATGGAGAAGTATTAAAGGGTTACAAAGATAAACGCCTTCGTGCACCTTGTGGAATGGTTGTTCTAGATGACGGATCTATATTGGTGTGCAGCAGTGGAAACCACAGCATTCATTTAATATCAGAAAACCTTAAAAATGGTGGAGTGTTACTTGAGGAAAAAGATGGCTTGTTAAATCCTTGGTCTCTTGCTTTAGATAAAGTACAAAACAAGCTGTATGTTGGAAGTTGTGGCACATGTAATATTTTAAAAATTTACGATTTGAATTAACAAATTGTCTTGTCAGTAGTTGGAGAGAATATTCAATGCAGTTTTTTTAATTGTTTATTGCAATGTTTGAAAGAGTACTCTTTCTGTCAAATTTTAAATCATTTGAATTAATAACTCGTGTCTATTACTTAGCATTTTTGTTTAACCTAAGACTCTTTCTAACTGTTATTAAGTTATTACTAGTACATGTATGTATTTTAAATAGATAAAGCAAGACTTGCCGTTATGTGGATGAAATGCATATATTTCACAGTTTTTTATTAAAGTATCTCATATCCTGTGACATACAGGTGTATATACAATTTTATCATCTGACAATGCAATATGCTTTGAGTATATTTTCAACCAGATGACTGTTTTAGTAGGCATAACTCAATACAGTCTTTTATAACTTTCACGATATCTGAGGAAACAAGCTAGGCTAGCTGTATGCTTTCAGATGAGTCGAAATTTTTTCAAGAAAATCATCATTGACAAAAATGTAAGAATATTTAAATTTAAGAAAAGTAAAAATATTCACAATACAAGTAATAATTTATAAGTTATAGGCAATTGATAACTAATTTAGCAGTATTTATCACCATATTTCTAGTGCGTGACAAACGCTGATAGCAATATTTCTACATATTCTAACCTGTTTTCTAACCTACTTACTAGTATTTGAATGCTCGTACTTTTATGTCATAAGACGTAAATCTCTTCTTCCCAGGTTTTATATTCATCCCAATATTTTTAAACTTGACAGATTAATGAATAGTTGTGATAAAAAGATTCTACTAAAATTATCTTTATTTTGTAAAAACATTATGTTAAAATTTAGGTGATAAATACTTCTCATTCTCCGTTCCCATTTGTTACAATGTAAAATACATGTTGTATTGAATTCAGTACTTGAAATGAACAATATGATCTCCTTTTTTGTTTAATTAGCTTCTTTTATTGTGATATAAGGGATTTTTTGACTGTTATTTTTCTGTTTGTTTGTTTGTTATAACCAGTTGCATATCATATATGCCTTGGTTTAATGAAAACTGAAACTGGAACTGTAAGTACGAATATTTAAAGAAAAGGAATAGATTCACAATTAAAGAAATGTTTCACAAGACAATCAACGACTAATTTTGCAGTTTTCATCACCATATTTCTATTGCGTCACTAATGCAATCAAAGCTTTTTAACTCACCTGTCACAAAGTGACATGTTGAGCTTTTGTGATCGCTTTTCTTCCAGCGTCCGGCCGTCCGTCGTCCGTAAACTTTTACTTTAAACGACATGTCCTCTTAAACCGCTCAGCCAATTTTATCCAAACTTCACAGGAATGTTCCTTTGGTGGTCATCTTTAAAATTGTTCAAAGAATTTAATTCCATGCAGGACTCTGGTTGCTATGGCAACCAAAAGAAAAAAAACTAAAGAAATCTTCTTTTAAAACACCCAAAGAGCTAGAGCTTAGATATTTGGCATGAAACATCTTCCAGTGAGTCTCTACCATGTTTGTACAAATAAAAGTACTGGGGTTAAAATTGGCCGGCTGTTTTTCCATATATGTATATAGTAAAAACTTAAAAAATCTTTTAAAAACCCAAAGAGTTAGAGCTTAGATATTTAGCGAGAAACATCTTTTAATGGGTGTCTACCAAGTTTGTTGGCCCTGCTCCGGGGTCATTGTTTTCCCTATAATTATGTTTATAGTAAAAACTTAAAATTTTCTCTTTTAATAAACCCAAAGAGGTAGAGCTGAGATATTTAGCATGAAACATCTTCTTATGGGTGTCTTCTAAGTTTCTGCAAATAAAAGCCCTGGGGTTAAAAATGGCCCCGCCCCGGAGGTCATTGTTTACCCTATATGTATATAGTAAAGACTTCTTCTGGTAAATGTCTACAAAGTTTGTACAAATAAAAGCCCTGGGAATAAAATTGGCCCCGCCCGAGGATACTGATATTTTCTTATATGTTTATATTAAAAACTTTAAAAAAAATCTTCTTAAAAAAATCAAAGAGCAGCAGCTTAGATATTAAGCATGAAATATCTTCAAATGGGTGTCTAATAAGTTTGTTCAAATAAAATCCCTATGGTTAAAATTAGCCCCGCCCCAGGGGGTCATTGATTTTTCTTATATATACATGTTTATAGTTAAAACTTAAGACTCTTCTTGTGAAAATCCAAAAGAGTTGGAGCTTAGATATTTTGCATAAAACATCTAGTGGGTGCCTACCAAGTTTCAAATGAAAGCCCTAGGATCAAAATTGGCCCTGCCCCAGGGATCATTGATTTTCATTATATGTACTGTAAATCCTGTATTTTTCGCGATGATTTGATTTTCGCTATTTCTTCTGGGGTGAAAGGGGCTCCACTTAAACCTTTTTCTCAGGTGAGCCTTCAAGGGTCCTTTGGACCCTCTTGTTTAAGATATTCCAACCTATGTTTTGGTATTTTTCATAGATGTTATAGGTGCCGTTTACAATTTGTGTAAGTTTTTTTACGGTATTTAACTTTTTAATACATTTAAAAAACGAATTCCCTAGAAGCATGCAATTTTGAAGAAAAAGATGTACTGCTCTGTCCTTGGTCTTTGCTATTAAATAAATAAAAAAGCAGGGGCTATTTTGGAATTGTAAAAAAAAATGTTTCATAAAATTGTAAGTAAGAATAATAACATTATAAACAGAAATTTGATAAAGTGTGACATATGACAGATTTCAAATATACGATTTAAACTTTATACAATCTGACTTTGTTTTGTTTAAAAATGTTTAAGAGACATTAATATTGTATTTTAGTTGAATGAAGTATTGATATGTACTGATGTGTCCATGTAAGAGTAAAACATTGGATATTAATACATTGTATTAAACCTGTCTGGTGAATTTACAAACCTGTTTTATTTTTTCTAAATAGTTACGGTAGGAACTTTAATAAGACATATACGTGTCTAAAAATTCGACACGTAGAAATTAACACATGAGTTACATTTATTCTACATAAAAACAAATATTTAAGACACAAACGATTAATAATTAATGATGATTTACATCTGTTGTATTTTACTAATATTTAACATAATAATATTCTGAAATAAAATTATGAAAATGTAAAAAATATAAAAATAAATAAATTCCGACCATACGAGTTGATATCGAGGTACCTGTTGAATTTTAATAAGTAACTATGATGACGAGTGATTGATAATAGCATGATTAAACTTTATAGTTGGTTGTAATTGTATAAAGAACCCTTGAACTGTCTTCAATTTTCGATTTTGCTTGAATATGTTTCATAGAACGTTATGTATCACGGGATCTCCACTTAAAGATCCTGTATGTTATAATTAAGGATGTAACCACACTTATGTGAAATTTTATATCCTCTATAAAAAATTCTGAACATCCGAGAATATGATTGATATGTTCTGAAAAATGTATATTCGCATTATAAATAAAAGTTAAAATCTATTCATTCGTTTCTTATTGTAACATTGAATTAGACTTTATGAAAATAAATTTCTAATTACCTCCCTTTCTTTACATGCAATGTAAATTCGGAAATATTTTACAATTAATGCTTTTTGAAACTTGCAATATTGATAAAACTTCATTTGAGCATCAGAATTATGATACAAAACCATAAAAATTGAGTTACAGAAGCTTTAACGTTCCGCCATCATGCATGCGTCTGATGAAGCTCAAAGTAGCATTACTCAAACATTGAGCTTTCTATGTTTGTGACAATTTTCTTGAGACAAAAGCCGTGCGGTTTCCTTGTTCTAGAAACAAAAAGAAATGTGCTATTTGGCGTGTGTGCCAAGATTGCTTTTTTTTTTAGAATTCCACTGAACTGGATTTTATTCCTCCAGATTTAAATGTATTAGATTTCGGCATGTGTTTTTCCAGGAAGAATATATTTATTGATTAACCCTTGCTATATATCATATAAAGAATCGTGACACATGTATGCCAGTACATACACCTAATGAATTACAGTGCTCGTATGGGAAACGTTGTATCAATCTTTTTCTTTCGCAAATTATACGATTTCAGGTAAAACTATAGCTGCCAGTCTGTAATATGAATGATGAATTACCGACTATCTCTAAGAGAATTTCTTGTAGGTCCATTTCTCATTATTTTGGAAGAGAATCGTTGAGGTAACTCTGAACATAGACTTTCAAGGAGTATAGAATTTTCAGTGCCGACATGAAACTGATGACATTTTACCATCAAGAATGACCTTGACCTTCATCTGGTACAGCGGAGATGAACATTTGAGCTTAGTTTGAAGGATTTTGTCCCCCATGTTATCTTTATTTTGAGCTGTTGAAACATCGAGTCCGTCTGGTTAAACACTTCGAAAATTTGGTAAATGACAAAGTTTATAAGACGCTAATAAGAACATAATAAACGACAGTCGTACGAAATAAGGTGATATTATAGATGATGAATATCCGTGTTCAAACCGTACAGACCTGTACGTGTGGGAAGAAGCTTGCTGATAGGGTTTACGTTGCTTTTGGTGTTTTTGAGATCAAAAAAGATCTTAGCTTCTTACTTTTACAAATTTAGATAAGACAGATATAATATTTCTGTATTTAATTTTATAGAGCGTAATGCAGGATTAAGTTAATACAAATTTATTTTAGTTCGATTGTGTTGGAAGCTTTAAGCTTATTGAAAAGCTCTCGAATCCGTTCCTGAAACCAACCAGTACTAAGCAATGAATGTAATGTTTCTGGCTTAACGAAACAACGGCTTGCCCATGGCAGGGTTTGAACCAACGCGGTCAGCAACCCATAGATTATTAACCCGACGCGATAACCACTCAGCTACGCCGCAACTCAAAGGCAGAATTTGGAACCATGTATCTGTTTTCCATCTACGTTGTCCATTTGCGACGACCCGATATCGGACACAAGTTCAGATCCTGTTTTTACAATGAAGGATATTTATGTTGACTTATTGTGCTATGCTGAATTTTCGCTCAGCATGGAGCATGACATGCATGCCACATATAAAAAACTTTGAAATCCTTTAAAATCCTTCTGCATAAACCAATATGTTCACTTTTAAAATTGGCGTCACTTAAGCATTTTCTATGAATGAAACGCCTTAAAACTTATGTCATGTTGGCGTA